CTTATCTTTCATGAGCAGAAAATCCCAGCAAAGAGTTACTTTGGTTGCAAAGTCAATATCCTCAACCTTTCTAACATTAAAACCTCCTTCTCAATAAGGGAGAGTAACTTGAATCCATTTAATCTGTTGTGCAGTCTTCTTAGATTCAGATTTTTCACTCCGCAAGAAATGTTTAAACTTCTTTTTCTACTAAATTTAGCAACTCCATGGAATTTTAAATCCAAATAGCCAAAAGTAGAGATAAGGAAACAAAACAGCCTCAGCAGCTCCAACCTACCTGCCATAGACTGGTTTAGAGTGCTCTAAAGGTCCAATTTGGCATTCACCTTATCTAATAAAGGTCTGAATTCCATTACTCCTCACACTTCTACTAGAAAGAGGTACACTCTGATATTTGAATGGAAATTGTTCAACTTTGAACTGCAGTATGCCTTGAATCCTTCTTCTCCTTCTAACAGCTGTGGAAAAAATGACTGAGCTTTTATCCTTATTAACACAGACGTGAAACAGCTTGAAACTTCTTGAAAATGTCTTCAGTATTCTTAGCATTAGAAAGATTTGCCTTCACAACTACGAATAAATCAGCAACATAGAAAGCATAAGAGATCTTCATACCAGCCTTGATAACTGAATTGCATAGTTATTAAGCTTGGATTAGAACTGCCAGAGCTATTGCATCTTCTTTGAATTATTTTGCTATCCTATCTGGTTTGTCTGTTATTAAAGAAAAGAGTCAGATTTTCTTTTCCAACTCTGTTAGAAATAAAAGGAGAATTAAAGCTATGTTTGGTTGTTCTCAAGGAAATTTTCCTATTACTTACTCAGACTCCTCCTTAGTACTCAAGTTCCTAAGAAACATGATTGTTCTTCTTTGTTGGACAAAGTTAACTCTAGACTATGTTCTTGGAATGGTTTGAATTTGTCCTTCGCGGGCAGGCTTGAATTGATTAGGACTGTTCTATACACTTTTGTCTGCTATTAGTTTTCTGTATTTAATCTTCCTTCCTCTATTATAATTGCAATTGAGAAGAAGATAAGGGACTTTCTTTGGGGTTCTTCAGACGGTAACGGGAAGACTATTTGCCTTGGATAGGTTGTTGTGACTACCCCTAAATCTGAGTGTTGTTTAGGACTCAGAAAATTTTCTGATATTTGTGATATTATGGCCCGAATTTGGTGCTGGGTTGCGTTGAGACCCACTTATGACCCGACGACCTGTTTGACCCGTTTTTTGCTCATGGGTCGTGGACCCTAATTAGTCTCTTGTAGCCTAATATATAAGGGCGCTTAGGGTTTGCAGTGGTGTGATATTCGTACAGAATCAGAGTGGGATTGAAAACTTGTAATCTCCGATTTTACACAGTGAAAACTTTTGCCGGATCCCAACCGTGGACATAGGCTGTTGCCGAACCACATATAAATCTGTGTTCTTTGTGTGGCATGTTTAATTTCTGTCTTGATTCAACTTGGGTTCGTTGCGTTTGTCATAACAATATCAATGTTGTCTCTATTTCAAAGTTTGGCTTGGGATTTTTTTAGATCTAAAGATTTCTTTTGGGTTGCTTGGTTCAAGGGGAAATATCCAAATTCTTTTTGGTCTTGTGTCCTAGTTGCCTCTCATTCAAGGATTTGGGAATCTATTTTGGAAACTAGACATTTCCTAGCTGAGAATATATCTTATAAATTGGGTAAGGTTCTACTGTTGAAACTATTTTTGGATCCATGGTGCAATGGTAAAACCTTTATTTAGATTTTTTCTCATAGAATCTACAGAGCTCTGGATCTTCCAAAGAATGCATAAGTCAGCTCATTGATTAGAAATGGAAGGTGGCAGATACCTACACCTTCTTCCTCAATTTTGCAGCAGTTTAACAACTTAATCCTTTTTATTCCTATTTATTCTGGTCATGATAAATTGGAGTGGGATAAGGGTGGTTTTACTTTCAGAAGGGCTTGGAACTGTTGGAGAACTCATAAGCCTAAGTGCACTGGTCTACTCTGTGTTGGAATGGTTGTAGACCTAGGGTCTCAGTATACTGCTGTCTCTTCTTTCATGATAAACATCTATCTCTTTTTAATCTGAGAAAGAGAGGCGTCATCACTGTTTCTATTTGTCATTTATGCCTTGATGCAGATGATTCAACCGATCATCTATTCATTCAGTGTCCTTTTCCAAGATATGTTTAGGACTGGTTCCGGCTTATCACCGGCAGTCTGTTTAGGGTGACGTGACGGGAGTAGCTAAAGGAAGGAAGAACAATTTCTTCTATTATATTATTCCTCTCGATCTTTATGTGAGGGTCATAGCTTTGACTTGTGCCAAGGTTAACATAAGTCATCACCCATGTAATCCATTTATCAGGAAACCGTACAACTGAAGAAGTGATCTGAGAAATTTCCAATCAAACTGTGTCATAAGCTTTTCTCAAGTGCACCTTCAAAGTCATAGAAGGATCCCCCTTTTACTGCCAAAACCCTTAATAAGATCAGCAGCAAGCAAAATGTTATCCTGTATCCTTCTACTTCTCAGAAATGTAGACTGCTCCATACCAACTGAATGAAGAACTTTACCAAGCCTGTTTGGTAGGATCGTTGCTATTATCTTATAGATGAAATTAGAAAGAGAGGTCTGTAATTTGCAATTTTATCTCCCTGATTTGCCTTTGGAATGAGAGTGAGAAATGTTGAGTTGACCCCCATAGGAAGACAAGATGAATTAAAAAACAAAAACTGCAATACTGCTTCACCTCCACTGCATTAAACTCGCTTTCCAAACTTGAAGCATCTGCAAAAGAAACTTGTCTTCTGGGTTTCAACGGAGTGGTTCAGTAGCATCTATAGCATATAAATGTTCATAAAAACAAATCAACCATTCCTTGAAAACTTTAGGGTCTTCAGCAATATCTCCATTCAAATTCTGTAATTTGGTAATGGCATTATGGCACCTTCTCTGTTTAACCATGGGATAAAAATAAAAGGTACATCTATCACCCTCTTGCAGCCACTTGATTCTAGACTTTTTAGCCCAAAGCATTTCTTCCAATTCCATACCCGTTTAGTAGAATCTCTCAAAAGCTTCATTTGAATGTACTGCAATCCCATTCTAGCTTCCTGTACCTGATTAGAAACCTTTCCTTTCTTCTTATTCCAATCCTTCACTGCTGCCTTTTCCCCCCCCCCCCCCCCCCTTTTTGGAAGGATAAGCAAACACACATACCCGTGCCTCCACTGTGGCTCGAACACCCGACCTCCCCTTTGGGGAGGAGAGCTTGTACCAGCTGGGCTATTGCCCATTTGGTTTCACTGTTTGACTACACTACGCTTTTGCTGCATTTGATGCAGTCGTCCCCATGACTGGAGAATTCCATGTTTGAGTAACCACACCTTCAACCTCTTGTTGGAAACACCAAATCTTCAACACTTTAACATGCATGTGTTACTTTATATGAACGGAGATATAAAGTTGGAAGGAGTATCCACATAAAACATTGAGGTTAATTCCAGAAAAGCCCCCTAAACTATACAAAATTTGCACATTACCCCCTTGGAATAAAATTAATCCCTCCTAATCAAATGGAAGTTTGCAAACAAAGCCAACGAACTACATTTCTTAGGCGACCGTTAAATTTGTCTTGAAAATTATTAAATTGCCCTTAGATTTAGTGCACAAAAACCCCTTAAATTATAAGAAATTTGCATGTTACACCCCCTATCTAGTGGATAACATCCAAATTTCTTATGGTTAAGGGGTTTATTCAATTAATCCAAAGGGTAAATTAGGATTTTCAAAACAAGTAAAAAACTAGGATTTTCAAAAAGTCCTGCTACTTTGATTGTTTATTTCTTGACTATAACTTAATGGAAGAGCGTGTCTCGCAAAATTTTTGATATTTCAAAGTGGTCATCTACTAAAAATTTAGTATGGGAGGCGATGTGCAATTTTTTTATAGTTCAAGGGTATACAATTACCCCTAACCACTGCAATGTAGAGTTCTCAGCTTGGAGTAGATGGATACAGATCCAATTTGTCATTGTGTGTACAATTTTAGAAACTTAAAACTCATATTCGTGCTTGGTAGGCATCAAGTAATGACCCATAGTCTTTGAAATGGTATGCGATTATAAATCCATGTTTTATTGCATATAAACAGATTTGTACAAGAATAGCTCAAGCTCAGCTCAATATTGGTTTTGTTCAAGCTCATTTATCTAACAAACAAGAAAAGCTTAAGGCTAGTTTTAAAGCTCATTTAGTTAATGAGCTGAGCCTAAACAAGCCCAAGGCCGGGTCATTAGTCACATTAACATAAGGTAGTGATATAGTTTTAAGGGAGCATTTGCACCAATACTAGAAAGTGAGATATTTCTAATCTAAAGCCTTTAACTTTTGAGACGCTCTTATAGTGTAGTGTTTCAGTTACTCAGTGCAATCTAAGATGAGTCGTGGATGATTTTCTGATGAGATTTTGCATCATTTTCCATCTATATTAGATTTTCTTCTAAGATTTCACTCTTAGATTATGCCATTCATTCTTTAGAGTTTGGTATTGATTTCAAAAATAAGATTTAGGTTGCATTTGGGAATCTGGATTTGGCTTTGATAGAATTTAAACCCTTGGATATTCCTTGATTACAAATCCATTATTTCAAATTTCAGATTTGGAAAAATATTTAGGAAGAATTTGAAATCCAGATGATTCTGAAAACAAAATGGAAATGTCAATTGACCAAATTGAGAACACTAAGCAAATTAATAGAATGATTGAAGTGATGGAGAAAAGAAAATTATTTCTCTATATTTCTAGTCGTGGGCACCCATTTCTGTGGTCTTCGGGGTTGATTGTTTGTTGGGGTGTGTTTGTGTGTTTACCATTGCAAGGGCTACTACCTCACTTCACTCCCCTATACAGCTTGTGGTAGCTTTGTTGAATTTTTAAGATACGGTTTGGTCTTTCTATGCGATTATTGATATTATGATTTTTGCCAAAATTTTCTGTCAGACTCTGTCTTTGCTTTTAAATATCATGGCGGATGTGTTCGGGAGGAACTCACAGCCATCAACTCTGGTTGAAGCATCAGAAATAGCAGATCTCATCGACTTCCTGTAAGATCATTTCTTGTCCTTTAATCAAACTTGTGGAATATGATACTAGTTCATTTCCTTACCATATAAACTTCGCATACGTTATTGATCCATTTGTGTTCCTCAGCCATCATGTTGTACACTATGAAGGGCAAGGAGGGCCAGTGCAGGCCAACAGCAAACCTAGACCAGATATTTTGTCTCTCTGTGGAAGAGCATCCGAAAACTTACGAGCAGACATACAGCATCTTCTTTCCCACTTGAAAACTGACGGAAGTTCTTCCATCTATGCTGCAACTCACCCGAAGCTGGTTCAGACTCCCTCGTAAAAATTGTGCCTATTTATCATTCACTGTAACCTGGTTGAGAGATGGTACTTGCCCTGAAATTAAGTTGTTACTGCTAGAGAAGGCATTTCTTTATGAAGATTAGTCACATGTATTTATAGTTGAAGGACGTTCTATTTATGGTTTTTGCTGATTTGCAATGGATTGTAAATATGCTGCTTCTTTTTTAAAATAAATTAATTGATCTTAGATGGTATGGACATGTATAATGAAGACCTACAAATACACCGGCAATGAATCCTCTCCAGTACCGAGTTTTTGCTGTTCTCTGGATTGGTGAATTTCACCACTTTCAATGGCGACTTTTACCACTATAATGGTAAAATTTTACGAACAAACGAATTTAAATAGGTAAAATTGGAATTGTTAGTGGAGAGAATTTTGATTCATGATATGTTACTGTATTTGATATGTATGTGAATCGGAGGAGATAATTGAGTAAAAAAACTATGAGAGTATCTCATGACAAGCAAAAACTCTATTTATGAACCAGTAGATTGAGAACAAATTTTGAAATATGTGAAAAGTCCGAACAATTTTTTTAATAAATCTCTCAATTCAAATGTTAATAAAGAAAGTTCATGACCCTTTGCTAGGGGTACACAAAGAACCCGTTGAAACCAAATTGTTGGACTGGAACCGGTGTTTTGGTTCTAATTTTTAGGAACCGTTGGGAATGTTTTCGATTTTAGACTTCGGAACCGTATAATAATTACTAATATATGTCTATTAATACATACAAAAGGATATATAATAAAAGTATGTTCTCATGTACAATGCTATAGATCAAAACGTCACAAATGGGTTTAGAGTCATTATTACTATTATTTTTTGAAAGAAAAAACCGGAACCAAACCCTAAAACTAATTCGGGTTGGTTATGGTCCCAACGGTTCCAATTCCAATTTCTAAGAATCGATAGGACAGGGCACCCCTACTCTTTGCCACGAGAGACTCTTAAGTAAGCATGTTCAAACTCGAGGCTTTCTGCTAATTGACTATGAGTTACCATTTACGTTTGGAATTGAACTTTTGAACTCATTTATTTCATTTTCATCCAACAAAAACATCTCATCATCTTCAACGTGAGCATTTAAAAATTGTATTTCCTTAAAAAGCAAAAAGGTCAAATAATGGTTAAAACCTCGTAGGTTTAACATGCCATAAACAACTGTACAATGCGAGTACGAAGTTAAGCTTGATAGAAAATATTTGTTTGAGAATATATATAATGTATAAACACTTCCTCTTCATCACCACGTTGAATTCCTTGCCACCCAAAAAACATAAAAATAAAATAAAATCTTGAACAAAAGGGTTACGTTCAACAGTCCTTTAAACATAATTTAAGATAATTATAATAAATAAAAAATACACACAAGCACATACCACAGCACTGTCAAATGCAAATAATCTACACTCAATTGGTATATCGATCACCGAATTCAAAATGGGTAGCGGCATTACCGTACACCACGCAAATTTGATCAACTCAACAGTGACAGGACGGAAAATGAAAGAAGCTTGATGAAGATTTTTCTACGTGTAAAATCTAACTTATCAATGAACTAAATGCAGAAGTCAGTTGAAAATGTGGTTGTGCTGATGAGAGACACCATGGGTTGGATAGACAACAGATAAAAGGACATATTGGCCATATTATGTACAAGCTTCCAAACCCAAACTAGAACCAAATTCAAAGGAGTTGCCAGTCATCCTCTTGCGTGCCGCCCTCTGCATCACTAGCAGGCACCATATCAAAGGAATTATCCTCTTGAACTCCACCGCTATCACCCAACACGTCACGGCTAGCAGCTGGCTTCGATGAATTCCGGGCTCGAGTAACAGTAAATAATGGAGCACCATTTGATTCATCCGCAAGCTTGGAAGCCAGGAAACAAAAATGATCAAAATCATCTGCCAACCAAAAAAGAGACGTTGAGGTCCAAATCAACATATTTTCGCTGCATTGATGAATGAATTCATTATATCCAATCAAGAGTAGAAAGCATACCTTTGTCTCCACAATAAAACCCTATTGCCAAAGACGGATCAAGTGAGTCCAGGGGAATGTGCCGTACTTCACTGGAACCATTGTCAAAGAAGATAAGGAAAAAGAAGAACAAAGAACATAACATTGAAGAAACAACACAACTGAATACATAATAATGAAGCAAATCAAACCTTAGCCACAGAACTTACTCGCAGTGATAAGACGAAGTATCAGCCTCTAAATTATCCCTCCTGATATCAACTGCCTGATAAGCCACCAGCATTGAGAAATGTACTTAATGTGAATGCTAACAGCTAAAGAAAAACAAATGAAAACAAAAAAATAAGCAAACAGTGACACAAATGCTGGGACTCACATCAATCAACCACCTAGACTTTGAGTCACTAATAGTTATATTGTTAAATGTGCAGTTTCTCCTCCAAAATGACTTCTCTAGTCGAGGAACACATCAGATGTTTTTACCTAAACTAGTAGGTCCTTGAGTGGATCCGACGTTAGTCCCAAGATGGTCTTTAACTAGAAAAGTAAACATTTAAGCTTAAGAAGCTTCTGGTCTAGTGGGTCCGTAACACTCGCTAGGATAAGTGGTATTATTGAACCAGACAAACCAACAAGCAATGAAACCAAAAACAAATAAATCACGTAACCTGTAAGATAAGTAAGCCTCTTCAGACCAGCCAAGTACACGCCAAGTCCATGCAAAGGGTTTGTTTAAGCTATGCCAGATAAATTTAGGTAAGCCTCTTCAGACCAGCCAAGTACACAACAAGCCCATGCAAAGGGTTTGTTTAAGATATGCCAGATAAATTTAGCATGGCTAACACATTTGAAAAGGGGGGGGAAGGTATTTCAGGAAGAAGAAAAAAATGAATACCCAGGGAATTCCCAGACTCCCGGACTTTCTCCAAGGCCCAAGCAAGCATGCACTGTCGGCAATTACCAGGTTGTTACTTTGAGAGACAGCGATCTTTTTTAAAAATTATGTTTATGATCACTTAACCCTCATCTCATTTCTTCACTACCACTAGAACTGCATTTTGCAAAGCAATAAAATATCATCTTCGATTTTCAGAAGGATTCTCGATTTGTGTCGGTGTTTTCTTGGTACAAACATCAATTTATCTGTTACTATGTCTCTTTACAGGGGCTTCAACAATTTACTGATGCCTCAAAGATTGCCATACACTTTTTCTTGTCTTTTTTCTTTTATTTGTATTTTTTGGGCCAAACAAAATGTTTCCAAGCCCCCTTAATCTCATATCCCAAGCTTTGAACTCCAAACCTCTCTTAACTAATGCTCCGTTTGGTTGGAGTGATGGAAAAATGGACAGAAGGGAGAGGGGGAGGGATGGATGAGGCATCCCTAAGGAAGGGAAGGTGTCTCACACACTTTTTGTTTGGTTGAATGGAAGGGGTAGTAGAAATGATGGATGGAGCGACACTTTTTTTAGTTTGGTTGGAAGGAAGAAGAGAGTTTTTATATCCTTTTACCAATACACCCTCATTATATAAAATTATAAAAAATAAAAACAACTTTTTTTTTAAACGTCAAAATTGGTATTTTATTCACTCTTTCCCTCCTCTCTTCCACCCTATTTTGGACAGCTAAGAAAACATAAAGCAAGGAGGGATGCTTCATCCCTTCCTTGCTTCCTCCCTCTCTTCCCTTCCTTCCAACCAAACATGAGAAGGCTCATCCATCCCTCCTCTCTTCCATCCCTCCAACCAAACATAGCAAAAGGCTTTTCAGGGCTCACTCATACCACGTGACCTACAGATCTATGTTGATTGCTTTCACTTAAAATGACAAAATACTGTCAAATGTATTGTGATTGGAAAATTCACACACAAATAGAATAATCTCATTGCACAGAAATATCTAATGAACGTCAAGTTCAGGTATTGCAGATAGATGTGAGAATTACAAAACCGAAACAACCTAACACACACACACACACACACACACACTAAGTGATCAGTGCGTAAAGCAAGATAGTGAAGCGGGCCAGGAATGGGGTTGGGAGAGACAACTCCAATATTAATATAGCTTATGGTATATTTGCCCGAATCAATGGATTTGAAATTATTGAAGATTTAATGGAGGAATCAGTGAAGGAAAATCTTCTAGTAATTTATGTTGTTTCCTATTATTGAAGATTTATTCTTACTAGAGGAATCAGTGGGGAAAAATCATCTTTGTTTCCTATTTTCTCTCTTTCCATTCTCATCATTTTTTCTCCTATATAAAGAAGCGTAGCTTTGTATTGTGTATGAGTTGAGAGAGTATTATAAAAATGATGTAGCCTTTTGGACTCTTTCTGCCGTGGATGTATGCCCTAGTGGCTGAACCACCGAATATCTTTGTTCTTCTTGTTTTATTTCACGCTTCACTTATGTTTTATGCTTTACAACATGGTATCAGAGCCTAATTTCTCTTCCTAGGTTCAGACCCCTATTTTGGGGTATCCTTTAGCATCTGAAATGTTGCCAAGGGTTTTTCGGTGCTATTTGTGACTTGTTTGGACTGCCGGTGTGTTCAATAGCATTGTTCTTTGCCTTCATTGTGTCTCCGGCAGTTTTTATTGACTTTTTTGGGCTACTGGCGTGTTCGGGAGCATTGTCTTCTTCTTTGCCGTGTCTCCAACAGTTTTTTGTTCATTTGTTTGGGCTGCCGGTGTGTTCGGTAGCATTGTTCTTCGCCTTCTCTCTTCTCTCTTCTCTCTTCTCTCTTCTCTCTTTCATCATTCACACTTGTTGCTACTCGTCATCTCAATGGCAAGTTGGGCATTCATGCTCCAACTTGAGAGGGATAATTGAAGATTTAATGAAGGAATCAGTGGAGAAAATTCATCCTTGTTTCCTATTTTCTATCTCTTTCCATTCTCATCATTTCTTCTCCTATATAAAGGAGCCTCCAACTTTGTATCGTGTATGAGTTGAGAGAGTATTATATAAAGTGATGTAGTCTTTTGGACTCTGTGTGCCATGAATGTTAGCCCTAGTGGCTGAACCTCTGAATATCTTTGTTGTTCTTGTTTTATTTCTCTCTTCACTTATGGTTTATGCTTTACAACATAAATGAAGGGAATTGGGTTTGGATAATAGTTTCACTGCTGGAGTTAGTTTGGGAGGCGAAAGGGACTGTTAAGTGTAGAGATTTGAAAGATCTATTCCATTAAGATTATTGTGCATCTAGAATCTTTGTTGGAATGAATTTCAAATAACACATTTCACATTATTATTATAAATCTACACATATAAGGCTCTCTAACCAATCTATGCATCTTGTTGAAACCTAAATCTGAACTATTAAATCAAAATCTAAGCTATACTCCCTAAATAATTGAGACCAAATCCATCCAATTTACATCCCTCTATCCAAGTGGAACCTTAACCCACAAAAAGGTTTAAAAGTAATCAAGTTCATTTGTGCATGAATATGATTTCACATGCAAGTACAAATGAATAAAAAAAAAATTTTAAATTTATAAGTTGATATCTTTAAAAGCATATTAATATATTCTGGTATAAGTTTAAAATGGATTTGAGAAATAACAAGAACCTAGTGCTGGCCTGGTAGTCACCGATTGTTCTATAATATAAAGCTACAAATTGAGTAGGGCTACAAAGAAACCAAGCATGAACAGCTCAGGCTTGACACTATTGTTTGTTCATTCAACCCATGAACATGAGGAGTATATTACGCAATTGCCAACTTAGAAGGGGTGATTAAGATACTTCAATATTTTTGAAGCATGTTATACTGATTTAATTTTAAAACCTATTGAAGGGGTGATTAAGATACTTCAATATTTTTGAAGCATGTTATACTGATTTAATTTTAAAACCTATTTACCATCTGAAAACTCCAGTCATCTCAAAGTCTACACAAAAAATGGGACGCAAAGGGGCTTCTTCTGCAAAGAGATCACGACTCCAATTACTTGAACAATGTGATGGTGATTTTCTGTCCATCCTTTTCTTCTTGATCTGCTACTTTTTCTATGGTTTCATTCTTCGGCTCGCTCAGTCAATTAACAGCATCTGACTTAGATCCGAACACAAGGATTTGGGTTCCTTACAGTTTATATATCTAGGGTTCAGTGTAGAAAAATATGACAGAAGATTTGATATTAGTTTTCAGACAAGGGTTTTGTTCTTATTCTTTCCAGTCAAAATGGCTCGCATAAGCCGACTAGAGCTCGGCATGCCAAAAGGAAAACAAGACGAACTCCAACACATCTGGCCAAGCTCGACTCAGATAAAGCCAAGTCAGAATGCCAATTCAAAAGCAGATCTTGAACAAGCTAATATTAGGAAGAATACAATTCACTTGTAGGCTTGTAGCCCAATGATCACGTCTTCTATATAATATAGGCTAAATTCCAGAAAACCCCCTGAACTATACATATGTGGCAGAAAACCACCCTCTTGCAAAAAGAAAAAAAAATCCTGAACTAAGAAAAGTTGCAAACCAAGTTTGGCTGCCATTAATATTGAATGTAAAACTACTAATTTATCCTTCATGAATGGAAGTATGAAACCAGAACATGAAACTCTAATAGAGAGTCGCGCAAGGTCCATTGATCTAGAAATAGGTCAATAGGTCATGTAGGATTAATTGTTTTAACTAATTTTTAAATTAAAACAGAAGTATTAGAGTCCTGCAAGGTCCACTGATCCAGACCTAGAGAGGGGTGAATAGGTTTTGTAAAACTGATTAACTGTTTTAACTAATTTTTAAATTAAAACAGAATTAACAAAAAAAATGAACTCTAAATCTAGCAAACAGTAAAAATCATACGCAATCCACAGCAATTTAAAGTAATACAACAATAAACAGTAGACACTAGATTTTTATGTGAAAAATCCTAGAAAGGAAAAAACCACGGGACTAATCCAGGCAAACCAAATCTACTAGCGAGAAACAAGGTTCACAACCTATGTTAATAGACTTAAACCCAAGAATACCCTAGTTACCTCCTTGACACAAAAGACACCAAACTTTTCCACCAAAAAGTTTTAAAGCAAGTTTTCCACTTGTCAACAGCGTTCACTCTTCACAAACCTGCTTCTCTAGTAAATCCGGTCTCAGCCACTAGTCGTCCAAGCGTCAATCTGATTGTGGATTGGACTGTAGTGTTGAATTAACCTTTTGAGTATGCAGTAATAGATGTCAACACATATGAACACACTCACGAACTAATGCAGATTATGAATGTGAAAGAAAAGGAGTGATGCACTCAAAAACTCACAAAGAAATCTGCTTCAAGTAGTGGACAGATTAAGTTATTTGCAGAGTGAAAAAAACTTGGAAATTGCTGTTTTTAACAGTAGACACTAGATTTTTACGTGAAAATTCCTAGAAAGGAAAAAACCACGGGACCTAATCCAGGCAAACCAAATCCACTAGGGATAAGTTTCACAACCTATGTTAATAGACTCTACCCAAGAATACCCTACTTACCTCCTTGACACAAAAGACACCAAACTTTTCCACCAAAAAGTCTTAAAGCACCTCTTCCACTCGTCAATAGCGTTCACTGCTTCTCTAGTGAATCCGGTCTCAGCCACTAGTTGTCCAAGCATCAATCTGATTGTGGATTGGACTGTAGTGTTGAATTAATCTTAATGCAGCAATAGATGTCAACACATATGAACACACTCACCAACTAATGCAGATCATTAATGTGAAAGAAAAGGAGTGATACACTCAAAAACTCACAAAGAAATCTCCTCTCAAGTAGTGGACAGATTAAGTTATTTGCAGAGTTAAAAAAAAAATAAATAAATAACTTGGAAATTGCTGTTTCGAACAGCTTGATCATCGATCGAATTTGATCTTCTGAAGGTTTAAACTTAAAAAAAAATTAATATAGAAGTTTCCAAAACATATTTCATACAAGTTTAAATCTTTTAAGGGAATCAAAATATGATTAAAACTTGGAAATTTAGAAAACCTAGATATGTAATGCATGAGGATTATCGATATGTTAATTTACTTTTATACCCTAGTAGATGAAGATTATCAATTATACCCTTGAATGTAGCATGAATTCCTTCTTCGACCTTGGGAGGCAACTAACACTAACTTTTGAGAGAAAAAAGAACAAATTGCAAAGAACCCACTAGAACAATAATTTTTTTGCAACAAACCCACTAACTATTTTTGAGCCAAAGAAACCCCCTCTTATCTTTCAAAATCGTGTAAAAACCCCCCTCTTGTTAGATGGCCATCAAGTCTCCACTAACTTATAATGTGAAATTTCTAATGTGCCCCTAGTAATGAACTTGAAAATTACTATATAAAATACCAATAGGGAATCAATTAATTACATTCATATGACACTGTTTTGTTTGGAGTAGTTATTGGTGTTTTATATATTGCTACATTATTAGTTTCATATCATAAATTAATGGAGGCTTAACGTTGGTGGTAAGGGGGCATTTTGCATGATTTTGCAAGAAGGGAATTTGTTGCAAAGAGTAATTTTATCAAAAGAGTAAATTTGTTATTATCAAAGTCACACCATTATCGCTAACAACTATTTTTAAACCGCATCCTAATTCGGTTTTTTTTTTTTTTTGGGGAGTGGGGGGGGGGGGGGGGGGGGTTGCAGTTTTCTGCAATTTACCCAAATAAGATAAAGCTTACCCATGCATTGGCAAGAAGTCATAGTCCATTGTATTTCTATGAATCCAGATAATACGCATAATATACCCAGACAACTTGTTAAAGCATACAGATTGTTCAACTGGTGTGAAATTAATTTTAAAAACCCAATTAGACTTTTTTACTTGGTGGCTTTGTTGAAGTTGTGAAGTTAGTCACAAAATCAATTTTTCCTTGGCTCCTAAAAACAATCAACATTCAATTCGAACTGAAAATAGGGAAGAAGATCAAATTAAAGGAAAAAGAGTGCTAGAGTAATGAAGATCTCTGACCTAGTAGTAATAGTAAAAAGATTATAACTTTACATATAGAGGGAAAGAGAGAGGCCAAAACAATACAGGAATATACGATTACACAAGTCAAGGTTAAGGCACACCCCAAGCAAGCATATAATATCAAGGCCACCATTTCTTCCAAAACAAATCTGCTTCAGTGTCAAACAATCTAGTAATAAGAGATAGTAGATGTGTGTTTAAAAGATTCAGTGTCTCCTTCACCAGTGGGCTATTCAAAACACTGTTAATCGCTGAAAACTGAAGATTCAGTGGCTCTTTTGCCAAGTGCACTTGAAAACTCAGAAAGACAAACTTAAAAAATAAAGTGTACTTAAAAGCGAATGAATGACCTGACTTATCACCACAAGATTGGTTTACCCTGAACTAATAAATTTACCCTTGAATTTTCAGTTCTAAATTCAGTTCTTAAATTTTTCTAGCACCCCTAATTCAGCACTAAAATCTTTTTTGGTGCTTAATTTTTAATATCATCATCGAACAGAGCCTCGATGAGAATCTCTAAAGAATGGACCATGATTTTCAATCCATTCAACAATGTTAGAAGCACGGAGTTCAAAAATGAAACCTGGAATAGAACAAGAATTTGATTTCTTATTGCATCTCAAAAAAGCAAGGAGCAACACAAGTTTTCACAACTTTCCAAAAATAAATAAAGGTTCTATCATGGTCTTCTTGTAAACCTCCAATCTCAGAAGACCCATAATATTCAAACTAAGCTCATTATTGCAGGAGGGCAATTGAAATCAGACCATGGAGATATTGTTCTTAGAAGGGTGAGATGAACATGTAATAGTGTCTTGGATGATGTATAACAACTACATCCACATCTGATTTGTATGCCATGTTCAAGTCATAATAACCAGAAGCATAATAATCAGGGTAAATAGTATTGGACCGTGGGGCTTTTACTGAATATCTATCACCGTTCAGGAAGTAATTTGATTGATATGCATGCACATTTTATGTGTTATTATTGCCATCTGTATATGTAAATATAGCATAAATAAGTAACCATATAGGGAGAAACAAACTAGGATTGCACTGTACCAGCTGAACTACATGTGGATCAAGGTAAATTGCTTTTTCATCTTGCACACCAACAATATACGTTGAAGCACCAGGCCTGCCACCCAATATGCCAAGGCTCTGGGGAAAGGTGAATGTTTTCCTTAACAATGGAATGTACCTGATAAGAAATTAGGAAGTTAATTCAACTTATGAATAAGGCAGAAACTTGAATACAAGTTGTATACTTCCAATTTTATATTTTACACAAAAGGCATAATTCTCCCATTATCTTCAACAAGACAAAGCTATAACAACAAAATCAATATCAAAGTCATAGAATTAGCTAAAAATTAAACAAAGTGACCAACGAATGGCATCTGGCATAGAAGCAGCTTTAACCTCTTAAGATGATTCATTTGAATCTTTTCACCCCAGTGATATCTAACTATTTTCTAATTGTTCATCTTCAAATGCATCATTAGCAACTATTTCTACAAAATCCATGTATGAAAGGCCCATGAACTCCAGACTTCTCGGAACCGAGACTTAAGAATAGTAGCACAGGTGTTCAGGACCTTTTCTCCAAACCTCCAACAATGAGGAAGAATATTCTGACCCATCTAGACACTAGTTGAAAGAGGTCAAATTAGTTCCATTGAAATAAAGTCAATTTCGTCCAGTATAAGAGAATTTTTCTCCATCAATAGAAAGATGCTATCTGGGTGAAGATCCCTAATCATATTTTAAAAAGGAAAACAAAAAATATGTGATACATCTCAATGATTAACTTGATTTCTGCAACTGCATGAAGCATCAAAATAGCCTTCTCAAAAGCCAATTTGGTCATCTGGTGCAGTAATTCTAATAATGTCGTCGATGCAAGAGACAATTGAAAAACACACACCATATCAAGGTGTCTGAATAATTCATTTACAAAATTACAAGTAATGCCCTTATTGATGGAAACAATGCAATTTGAACAGTTATAGAGGGTGCTTGTTCCACCTTGAATAAAAGAAGTTCTAGCTCATCCAAAAGACGAAGGAATTCATAAACAAAAGATACCTATCAAAAACAAAAATCATAAACAAAAGATAAAGCCCAGAGAAGCGCATTTCTAAATTTCATGAGATGTAATTCTAATTCTCTTTTTGCCATTGAACTGTGCAAGCATTTCAGACACCAACTATATTCTAGAAGGATCTAGCTATTTTAAAGGGAAACAGTGGAAAGCCTGCAATGCAATGTCATACGGAAGTCAATCCTATGAATATCCTCACACACATGCTGCAGGCCTATGAGGTATGTGAGGTATGAAGGACGCTTATGAGAACCCTTTTTGGAGAATACTGTGAAGGCCAAGTGCGCAATCTGTGGTGAATAAAAACCGTTGAACAGTAAGGTTCTTGCTGCAATAGAGCAATAGCGATGCAAGATGAGCTTCTATGCATACAGAAATTTAATTTACAGAGGAAACTATCAAAGACTCTAATTTTATGTAAGCATAGCAATTTTCTCCTCATATATGCTTGCAAGAATAAATAACCTCATAAAATCATAGTGAACTGGAAGCTCTGCACATGACTAATTGACTACAATCAAAATTGCAAATAGAATGAAGAAAATAAATAACATTTCAGAATGTTCAATAACTAGTAAATGATACCTAATGTTTTGCTTAATGATGATCTAATCAGCTAAAATTCCCAAGTTAAGCCACAAAAAGTGCCCCCTTTGTTTCATGGACCAGACAATCAGTTGCTCATATACTATGAATTGAAATAGATTTTGCAAACTAGGTTCCCAGACTCCCATTATAACCAAAGGAAAAGCACTGTCATCAAAATGTTACATACCTAGGATTAACTTTGTCAAGTCCTAAAACCAAAGGAACCAATAAAAGAATGGGTGACCAATTAACTTGGCCTCTTGAAAACTCGAAACAATGCCTAGAGGCATCTTCAATGCAAACAACTGGAGCTCCACCTCTCTCCCCATCTTCATCACCAGAAACTACATAAACAGCCATAGGCAATGACCGGTCTTCAAGCTCAGTATCCACTCTCTTACAACGGACTAGAGTTTCCCAGGTGCGACACATGGCGTATGGCCCTACCCATAACCCAGCAGCGAGGTCATAAGCCTTTCCAGCATGGAGAAGATTATGAATAGAGAAAGCTGACGCCTCAGAATCACCAAAAAGGTGCAATATCTCAATATAGTCTTGATCGAGTGGCTGCATAATTAAAAAGTAAGCAATTGAGCATACCCGGGGAACAGAAAAGGAATAATTATGGCACCACATCCAAGATTCGTCAGATTGCAACTTTAAATTTACAAAAACATAAATTATTAGATAGATATAACAATAAAATATCATATTCAGCCATTTAGGTTACCTTATGTGAAGGTTTTCTCCAAGATCGCCCAAGTCGATGAATAAGTAATGCCTGAGCACATATGAAAATCAGTCACGCCTCAATTAATTAGAAAGAAATCATACTTGTAAAAGAACAATATGTAGCTCTTCTTAGCCCGAAATCATATCTGATAGATTAATGCTAGTCAGGAAAGTATTTGGCATAATTAATGGGAAAATAAAGGAGGTGAAACAAAGTGGCACTGTACTTGAGCAACGAGCATCTGGCTGCTTCGAAGCATGCAACCCCAATTTTGATCACTGGTATACTTCGAATCTCCGATGGCATCAAAACCTGCAATTAACAAACGGAAAATCCTTTTATCCTTAACATCATAGTTTGCTATTCAAATCAATCCATCCAGAAAAGGAACAAAAATTTACAAAATTAACCTTTGCGATAGGTCAACAAAATTCTTGATGAGAAATCTTCAATAAATGTAGCTAACCCATTGCTAGAAGCCGGATCGCCAGATAAATCCTCCTGAGAAATTTTATAACAGACACCCAGAAGCCATATGTCACTCGTTAAACTAGAAATCCCAGTCTTGTTCAGCCCTAGTACACGCTCGTGAAGTCTCCTCATTAAGCCACCATTCATAACTCTCTTCACAGCAGTTGTCCACCCATTGCTTCTAGTACGGAATGCCTTCTTCTGACAACCTTTCGACTCACTATGCGTTTCAAAGATTGAGGAAGCAGAAAGAAAGAAACCAGACCATAAGCAAATCTTTGAGAGCTTACTATCACTGGAACCCGGTTGCGAACAAGTGGCACCCGGATTACTATTTGGGGAATCAGTAGAACTCATACAAGAATATGTTGAATTAACACAGCATGGAATGACATCAATTCATAGGAGCTACCCAAATTTCCAATATTAATCAGCAGTCCAGAGGTAAAAGATGAATCAACTTGTGGAAAGAAACTAAGATGCCTGAAAAGACATGACCCAACGATTAAGGAAGCCCATTCTCAGTTTTCAATAATTTATCAAAAAGCAATATGCATCACAAAAGCTACCAAATTCCTAATTTTTCAGAAGTCATGTTTAACGAATCTAGTTAAGGTCAAAGCCTGACCTCAACAGACTAGGAACCTGTATTGCCTAAGGCGCTTGGTGCACTGCACAGAAGCAATTCCTGAAAACGGTCCAAATGTATCTTTGAAATACAAATTCATATACATATATTACTATACTAATTTATGATTGTATTGAATTTTTTCGTGAGAGACATATGTATAGAATTATGCAAGCACGTGCAGATTTGCAAAAGTATATAAACGCAAGAAATTAAATACCAGAATCAAAACAATAGAACTTAAAAACACTATCATCACAACAAATTCAAATTGCTCACATAAAGAAAGAATTTCAAGCAGGTAATGAATGCTATTACAAGTAGAAACTCAAGAAGTATAATTCGTACCAGAAATCGAATTGAGATCAATTAGAACTAATCAACGAGATTGGGATGGACTTCGAGTTAGACATTTAAGGGCAAATTTCATGATCTGATTTCCTATTTTTCTCTACAAGAATATATATATATATATATATATATATATATATATATATGTATGTATATATATTGCATATGTCTATGTAGACGCAAAGAGAGGTCTCTTACCTGTTCGAGAGAGAGAGAGAGCAGAGACGCTGGTGACGTTCGGTTCAAACCAAGATGCGACTCGCGAGTCGCGAACCCAAAACTGTCTTATAAATCTTAAATCAGGCTTGCACGTTTCCACAACCAAGATCTCTTATACCACTCGCGCACGTGACGCGTGGAGTGTACGAAGATATTGCTATTATTTATTTAGGGCAGATTTTTCAAAACCCCCGATTATTAAAAAGTGACCATAAAATCCTAATCAGTTTTAAAAATTCCCAACAATATAACAACATTATCATTTTACCCAAACTGACCGTTAAAGGTATGTGAAATAATTAAATTACCTTTATTATATTCTCTTTTATTTCAAAAACAAAAAAATCATATTTTAAAAATTACAATATTATCCTCTGCTGTATACCTAACAGTGAATTTCACTCCTCTATCTCTCTCGCATAGCAACCATGGACGACCTTCCATTACAGAAGATACAAATATCGGGCCCCACGTTAGCCTCTTTGATCCAACATTTCTCTTCCTCTGTAGGTGACGTGAATCAGAAATTGTCAATCCCATTTATGGATGAAAGTTGCGGGGTTGGTGGTGGTGACGAACGGGACAACGACGAAGAAGAGGTCATCGGTGGACACTCCCAGAGGGACTTGGACGGAGAGGAATTTTTTGAGGATTTGTATTTGGGAATCCGATGGTGAAGCTGGTGATATCACTTGCGATATAATCGATAATGTGGAGGCTTGGATGCTTTACAGTGATGGTTCTGGGTCGGATCATGATGGGGTTAAGCAGTTTCGAAAGGGTCCATGTTGTTTCACTGGGGAAGTGAAGAAACCGGGTCAAATTATATCGAAAGGGCATAAGAATTACGATTTGATGCTGAATCTCCAACTGGGTATTAGGTAATTTGATGAATTGGTTTGTGGGTTTGTTGATTTTCATTGTAATTGTTTGTCATTTTTGATTGATTAGCTTTTGAGTTTGATTAGGGTTTCAATTTTGTGCTGTGGGCATTGAATCAAAATATTATAGAATGAAGGCACCACTGGGTTTCAACCATGTGGTGCCTTCATTCTCAATCTTCAATTCTTCCCTTGGTTTTGCAGCTCAAACACAGACAACTATTAGAGACACCTAAACTATTTCGGCTCACCAGCTATGAACCCACTACGCCTCTGCGTAGGCAAAACATTCCAACCACAATTCATGTGAGTACCAAGGCCATCAGCACTTCAATTGTTCTTGGTGTCACTGCACCAGCAGAATCCGGCGGTGACATAACTGTCTTACTTCAAACAAGGTTGGTTGGTTCTCTTCACTTCCAATTCCATTATATTTCTATGATTCTAATATGCTTTATTAGAAAGAATGATACAATAATATCATTATCAATGCTACAATAATATCAATGTTTCAATAATATCAATGTTTGACCTGGTTAACAGTGCAGTATTTCTCTTTGTGTACTGGATTGCCAACTTTGTGGTGCCGGATATCATCTCCAAGGATCTTCAGTTCGACAAGACCAGCGAAGACCAGAGAGCTGATGTTGATAATCTTACAGAAGAAGAGAAAGCAAAGAAGTACCGAAGACGAAAAACGACCTTGCAAAGCCTCTCGTGTTGACCACTCGAAAGAACCAGAAGGAAATAAAGAACAAAGAGAAATATGCGAAAAGTTTTTAGATGATCCTCCATGGAGTAACCTACAGTTAATTTTATCACTTCAGAACAAAGATATTGATGTCCGAGTGTTAGTTTCTTTCTTTCTCTCACTACATATATGCACACATAGAATATAAATGTACTATACCTTATTCATTTCTCTGCCTGAAAGTATTGGCATTGTATGCAAAAAAAATAATAATAATAAATAAATAATAATAATAATAATAAAAGAAAGTTGGGCTCCGTTTTGGATTTGAAAATTGATTCGTTTATCAAAACAAAGTGAAAATTACAGAAAGAATCGAGAAGAGGGAGAAAAGAAATTGAAGTTTAGAATCTGAGATGTTTCATTCTTCATTTGGCTTACTCCGTGCGAGCTCTTTGTTTTTATTGGAAATCAATGAAATTCAGATTTTATTTTTTGTTCTTTAATTTGATAATCACTTCCGCTGCTTTCTATAATGGATGAAATAATGGTGGCTTTTAGGGCTACCTGAAACTCATGCATGGAGGAGAGAAGATGAACTGAAACGATGACATTGTGGGTGTGTTTTTACTATTACAAGCTTGAGGGTATTTTCGGTATAACACATTTAAATACACATCACTTCTTTGGTACATGTGACAGCAGGGGTATTTTTATCACAAAAGTTAATTTGTCAAAGCATTTGTTAATCACGCGTTGGATTAGCGGTGCCAATTGACAGAGTTGGGGTAAAATGATAACATTGTTATATTGTTGGGGGGTTTTAAAAATTGGTTGGGGTTTTATGATCACTTTTTAATAGTTTTGGGGGTTTTGAGAAATTTGCTCATTTATTTATTATGCATACAATGGGGTTATTAGAACTTATTTTTATACTTCTCTGCTTAATTTTTTTTTAATAAATGAAATGTCATAATTACTTAATTTTTAAATGATTTTAAAATAAAATTAATGTCATATATATATATATATATATATATATATATATATATATATATATATAATAAAAAAATAAATAAATAAATAAATAAAAAGTGAGAATATTGTAGGGGATAGATTTAGCAGAGCCTATATGGGTTAGACACATCGTCAACAATGACCACAAGTTAAATTGTCAACGGTCAAATTTGCATGACACCTGCCATGCCATCAGTAAAACTCCAACAAAAGATCGAAAACTTAAAAACCTGAGTTGGGAGTAGGTCTCTGACTTATTTGGGATCCAAGGAGGTACTTGGTTTGGTGGTTGAAGTCTAATGTCTACCATGTCAACACTCGGCCTCACTTACAGAGAGCCCATCTCATGTTGATGGACCCATGAGCGATGTCATGCGATGATGTCACCCAACCTATCGCTTGGTCTATAAAAGGAAATACTCCAAGACGAAGAAAGATAGAACAAAAAGGGAGAGGAAACAACCTCATAAGAGAACTTTTGGAGCTCTCTCACTCATGATATTTCCATATATCTTCATCAAGGGAGTCAATGCTATATCATTGCGGTGCCATCTTTACACTCTCTCTCGGGTTTGCCAATGCTTCCATCTCTTTCAATTCACCTAAAATTCTATGTTATCTGAATCATTCAGGGCCTATTTGGTTAGTGTTTTTGCTTCGTATTTTTTGTTTTTACTAGTGTACTCTAACGAAGCAAAAGCATGAAACATGTTTGGTAATATTTATTGTACTTTTGAATAGTAACAAAGCACTTCCAAAATTAAGCGTTCATAAAATAAATAAATTCTAAAATAACATTTTTAACTAACCATTCTAAAATAACATTTTTAACTAACCATTCCAATTTTCAATCTTGCACTTCTTACCAAACAAGCTTTCATGTTTTTACTTCTAAAAATCTTGTAACAAATTATGTTACCAAACAAACTTCTAAATAGTGTTGAACACACTTTAAAAATAAAAATATTACTTTTATTTCTAATCAAAGTAAAAGCACAAAAACTGTGGTTACCAAACAGACTATCACATTAACTGTGGTTACCAAACAGGCTATCACATTTTGTGCTTTTCGATATTACCTGCTACTTGTAGAACTATCGTATTTAACAACCCCCACAAGTATTATTTGTTCTCACCACTTTTTACAGGTCTCGTGTTTTAAATTCAAACAAAGAAGTCAAATGAAAGGCTATTTTGTAAATCTAACTATAGGTTTCATAAATGTTTTTAATGAGAGTATGTATAGCATCTCAAATTTGACTTTTACAGTTTTACTTACTAAAGTAATTAGAAAAAGGCTCGAGTGTTGGTATATTTATTACTGTTACCGTTAATGTAATATATTATTTCATAAAAAAATTCATAATGGTCTTTCATTATACATAATCTCTTTCACTTTATTCTGATATATTAGTAGTGCATTTGAATTTTCCTGCTTTAAGAGACTTCTATATATTTTAAAAATATATATTTTTATGAAAACAATTGTGTATAATGAAGCTATCCTACCAAAAAAATTAATTCATCTATGCTTCAATATGAATTTGTAGAATCATATTTAATTTTTTTTTTTTTGTTTTAAAAAAAAAAAGCTGTATCGAATATAATATTCTTTCTACATGGTTTTGCCATAATGAAATGATAAAAACACTAATCACATGTGTTGAAAATTGAAAATTAACTTGTGCAATATTACAAGATATTCCATCAAAAATAATGTAAACCAAAGCAACCATTAATATCTTTTGCTCTCGTGAACGAATTTGTAGACGTTTATATTCGTCTCAACTCATGAGCTAGAATAATATAGGTTGGTTCATTTGCGGTTATTATAAGGTGAAAGTAGTTAGGCTTGTTAACACCTAAAATATAATTCGAAGCAATTGTGCCACGTGGTCAGAAACCATGAAGTCTGAACTTTGGATCAACCCATGATCATCAGGGCCAAAGATTAATCATAGTGATCCGATTTAAGGCTGAGAAGGAAGAAGAGTGGAATTTTTAGGCCATTAAAACTGATATGAAGTTCTGAGCTCATAACCGGCCATGATTGAGACTCTCGGTCTCAGTCATCATGATCATGAGTTTAGGCCAAAATTCTCTCAGTCACTATGGTCATGAGAGTCTCAGTCATCATGATCATGAGTTTAGGCCAAAATCCTCTCAGTCGCTATGGTCATGGGAGTCTTAGTCATCATGATCATGAGTCCCGGCCAAAATCCTCTCAGTCACTATGGTCATGAGAGTCTCAGTCTCATGGTCATGAGTTTAGGCTATTTTTCTCTCAGTCTCGTGATCATGAGTCTCGGCCAAAATCCTCTCAGTCATCATGGTCATGAACTTAGGCCAAAATCTTCTCAGTCACTATGGTCATGAGAGTCTCAGTCTTCATGATCATGAGTCTTAGGTGAAAATCCTCTCAATCTTCATGATCACGAGTTTAGGCCAAAATCTTCTCAGTCACTATGGTCATGAGAGTCTCAGTCACTATAGTCATGAATTTAGGCGAAAATCCTCTCAGTCTTCATGATTATGAGTCTTAGGCGAAAATCCTCACAGTCTTCATGATCATGAGTTTTAGGCTAAAATCTTCTCAGTCACTATGATCATGAGAGTCTCAGTCTTATGGTCATGAGTTTAGGCCAAAACCTTCTTAGTCACTATAGTTATGACGTTCAGTCTCAATGGTCATGATCATGAGTTTTCAGTCAAAATCCTATCAGTCACTATGGTTATGAGAGTCTCAGTCTCATGGTCATGAGTTTAGGCCAAAGTACTCTCAGTCACAACTTTCTCAGTCACAACGGTCATGGTCATGAGACTCTCAGTTATAATGGTCACGATCTAAAATCTCTCCAAAGACTCATAACCAGCCATGATCAAGAGTCTCGACCGTTATTTCTCTCGATCATAATGATCATAAGACTCTCGGTCATAATAGTCATGATCATGAATCTTAACCAAGATTTTTAGTCACTATAGCCATGATCAAGACTCATGACCAAATATGGTCATCATCAGGGGTCTCGGGTCATAATCACTTGAAGAATCTTTGGGGTAATTAAAATAAAGATCGGCTGTGAATCCCAATGATTTAAGAACCCAACAAGTCAGGTCTAGAAACGTGACAAGAGTTTGAAATAGAAAAGGACAACTTGACCATGTCAGAGGTCCAGAGATTCAGAACCCCAGATGGAAGGTTCTCACCTACATCTGATGAAGAAAGTCAGATTTGTCAGTAATCAGATGATGCCAAGCCGGTGTACAGATCAAGCCAAGCATGACAGGTGCATAGAGCTGAAAATAGCTTGAAGGCCAAAATCATCAAGCATGAAAGAATATGCACCATCTAGTCAAAAATACTATGTAAGACATACTTGTATCTGCCTATAGAGGGATGTGCAAATCAGTCAACCTGACCAGCTCAGCAAGGTGGTTAGGTAAAATCACTTTCAACTTACAACCAATCAATTTCAAGAGAAACGGTTAAAAGGGACAACACTAGATGGAGGCTTCTATAAATACCCACTCAAAGTTTACAAGGAGGGGGTCCAAGACCATTTCTAAAGTTCAACCTTTAGCATTCATATCACTTAGCACTTAGCTTTTATTTCATCAAGTTCAGTTTAGCACTTAGCTTTTATTTCAGTAAGTTCAGTTTAGCACTATCAGTTTAGTTCTAATTTCATCCTTCAGCATTCAAAACTTTAGTTTCCATTTCAATCAAGAGTTTGTAATTCATTCATCATTGTAATCACTTAAGTTCAATGAAGAAAGGTTTGTAGATTCATGTATATTTATTGTTCAGTTTAAGTTGCTTCTAATTGATATTCATCTTAAATGTTTAAAGTCCTTTCTTAAAGGAAATAACAACCTTAAGGAGAGGGTCATTCCTACTTTCCAACTTTCGCTTGAATCACCTTAGGTCGGTGACCCGACCCGATATGAATAATTTGGCAAGAAACATTCGAGTCGATCAAGACTTTGGCACGCCCGCGTTCTAGGTCAGCCATTCATTGGCTAGCGACCTCAGACCACTTTGTGAGCCAAACAACTTTGGCACGCTCGGTGGGACAAGTGTTTTATTCGTGAATGGTCGTCGAGACTAGGTCACAGACTCAAACTTTAGCTGGACAAGCTAACCCTCAAAGGGAAGATCAGGAAGAAAATCAGCCTACTCCCAGCATGCAAGATTCCAGGTCTGAGCATGAAGAGGGACATCAGGTCAGCCACCAAATGCGGCCGAAAGTGTCAGCAATATGGTGACATGATTTGAAAGTAGAGTGGAGGCTTCCCAACGCCAAGTCGCTTGGGAAATCAACAAAAATATGGAGCCATTGGTGGCTTCATCCCACATGACTAATACTCAGCTCCAACAGCTGAATGAGGTGATTAATGCCTTAGTGACTTGTATTGATAGG